AGCCCCCATGCCTCCGGACCCTGCGCCGCCGGAGCCCGGGAGGGGAAGTGCCCGGCCGGCGGCTGGGGTCCGGAGGCAAGGGGGCTGCCTGAAGCCCATAGCGCTCGGGCAGCTCGGCTCTTAAACAGAGCCGAAGAGTCAGGGCAGGAGCAGAGCAGCCGCGGGAGGGGAAGTGCCCGACCGGCATTTTCCCGGACATGTTCGGCTTTTTGGTAATTCCCCCCGGACGGGGGTTTGATTGCCGAAAAGCCGGACATGTCCGGGAAAAAACCGGAAGTATGGTAACCCTAGTATGTATTCATCCACACTGCAACTGGAAGTGTGACCACAGCTCGGCTTGGCGTAACTGTGCTAGCTTTAATCTAGCTCCAAAATAACAGTAAAGATGCAGCAGCACAGGCCCTAGGCACAGGCTGACAATACGAGTATGGATCCAAGGTTCCGGGTGGGCTAAAACAGCCCATTCTGAACCTGGTGCTGCTATATCTTTGTGGCTATTTTTAGACATAGCCATCCTAGCTATAATTTACATAGTATGTCTATCCAAGCTGCAATCCAACCTTTAGTTCAGCATAGATAAAACTGTATATTGGTATAAACAGCTTTATACCAGAATAGCTTATTCTTTCAGTGAAGTGAAATAAGTTACACTGGTATAATTGCATTGCATATAAACTTTTACTAGCATAACTATGTCTGTTAAAAAAAATCACACCCTTAACTGACAGAATTATGCCAATAAATCTTTTTCAATAAAGACCAGGCCTTATATTAATCTTTGGTCCTCACGGATCAGTTACAGTGGTGCCTAGGCATCCTCTTGCCCATTATCTTCACCCCTCACTATTGTTTACAAATGACTGGCAACAGATGAAGCAAGGGAGAAAAGATCTAGAGTACTGGTAGTGGAAGTCTGGTGCTGAAATGGACTCCTTGCATTGTAACAATGCTTTTAAAATTATTTTTTAACTCTCACGCCATTGCTGACTTGCAGGGTATACTACATGGCCAGTTTCTTTCCCAGACACTTTAAGAGATTTCTTAGGGAGGGATATATTTAAATTTCTCTGCTTTGTGATCTCTACTAATTTGCCTGATTTGCTATGTAGATTGGTGTTTGATCTGAGCTGGGTCTTTTAATTTGTAAGAGTTTTAAATCAGAAATCTCCAAAGACCAGAGCTTTGCTGCAAATCAGAAGAGGTAAATAAAATAAATGTGGTGCCATGGGAGATACTGTGATTGCATTTTCCGTGGCCAGCACATAAGTTGTTACTTCTCATTTCCTTTCATTTATTTAAAAAGAAAATAGGCAGTAGGGACTCACAATCTCACCTGCTATGGCGGAGAGGCAAGGGAGAGGCACTGCTATAAAAAACAGACTCGTTTGTTAAGTTGATTGTCATTATTATAGGCTACATTGTAGCATTTAGGCATAGCCCTTCTCTGGGGGCAATGTGCAGCAGCACTGTCCCATGTTAGTCTCTAAGGTGCCACAAGTACTCCTGTTCTTTTTACTGTCCCATGAGGAGCAGTGGAGACAGAATGCCTCCCAGAGCCCCGCAGTGTGGAAGGGAAGCAGCCTTTTTGAG